GACGAATTTGATGAACAAAATCAAACTGATTTCAAACTTAATAATAAATTTCAAGAAAAGTTTGCAAAGAATACAAATGAAATATTTGGTTCAAATATTCTTAAAAATAATTCAGTTTAAAAAGAATGTAAAACAATTGACACAAATTGTCAGTTAAACTGTTCCCCATTAAAATTGTCTCCTGTATATAGCTTATAATATTATTATATGAGCTCTTATGTGTGAACATGTTATTACAGTTAACTGTTGCCAATTATTAGCAATACTTTGTGATCACCAGAATCTACAATGTAAATTCTGGTGATGTAGATTCTATATTATTAAGTCAAGTAACTATTAAATAAATGTTATTCAAGTGACTATAAAATGGCATTAAAATAACATGTAACATGTATATTAGAGAAATATAATGTGTAAGAATATTATAATAATTATATCACAATGTAAACAGTATTGTATTGAATTAATATCAGTATTAACGTAATACAGTTTAGTTTAGTTTAAGTAATCATAGTTTGGATCATATATTGCAAACGTAAAAATAATAAATAGATTTGAAACTTTATTTTACATAGAAAACTTAAATTGTATCATATCATCTACGTCAATGAAATGCCATATATTGTAATATAAATTGTGAGTTGTGTTAATTGAAATTTATAAATAAATGTTATTTGTTATATAGTATTGTGTTTACTCGAAGTGAATGAATAACATAACAAAGTGTAGGAGTAGTGGTCAGTAGTGTATATTAATAATCAATATTGCATCAATAATATAAAACAATCAACAATTAGATAACTATAGTTTGGATGGCTATATGAACATAGCGTTGGAACGGAAGAGTACGTCAGCGGACAGCTCAACAATAAATACGGCGACGCTTTCATCCGCGGCAACAGTGGTTTGTCTCAACCACTCATCCAATCATTTGTCACAACAATTGTTGCTTTCATTTCGTAGTTCTGTATATAAGTACACAAAAGAGACGCGTTTGAGAAGAATGTCGGACCCGTTGTCCAAATCATTGTCATCTTCTCATTCACCTTAACTTTTGTATCCAAATAATAGTGTTTTCAGTAAATAATTCTCACAATTAAATAATAATTCAATTTATTATACAATAACTAAAGACTAATTTTATAACTAATTAATGGCTTTATCTTTAATTTCCTTTTTGTTATCCATTCTTGAGTCTCACGACAACCGCAACGTCTTTATTGATATCAATCTTCTCGATGTCCTCTTCTCTGACGCCAATCACTTCTTTGACATCACTTTGTGTCCAATTTTTTAATGAACTTCTGTTCACTTTAATGCCATGACTATTGATTTGTTTGCCTGTTTTGTCACTATATGTGAACCATATCTTGTGCTCAAAGGATTGGTCATCAATTGTGGGCCACTTTTGTTCGAACACTGATTTTGTGATATCGTATTCATGGGAACCGATGGCGTGAGAAGCGAATTGATCCCAACAGACGGCCGATACGTGCGGAACAAATGGCGAGATAATGATTAGAAGCGCTGCCAAACATCTCTCGTATTCGAGAGTATTGACGACATTTGTGTGATAATACTTTCGCAAAGCATTGATCATCTCGTGGACAGCTATCGTCGATCTCTTCATATTACAAATGTGTTCAATACTAAAGACCACTTTATCGGTGGTGTAATTAATGGCTTTAAGTAATGCTTGTTTTGCTTTATCGGTGGTCTGTTTGTCCACTTCTTTGATCCGATGACCGTGTATTACAGTTTTGCCGCTTTTAATATCGCAAAACTCTTCGACTGTCAGCAGAACTCTATGCAGGAATGCAAGAGTCGGATGGAATTCATTCTCATCGGTTCCCCAAAACCTCTCCTTATTAGTGGTTCCGTCGGCTATAAGTGTCCAACGCGTGGCATCGGATCCATACTTATGTAGTAATTCCTGTGGATTCACTCCATTTCCCTTTGATTTTGACATTTTTTTGTATTCAATGACAACATTATTGTGTTGTTTAGCCTCTTCTTCGCTGACATACATACAGACACTATAGATATGAACATAAATTGACGCGTTTATTGTGGAAGATAGACATGAAAGACATGATTGTACTCAACACTAATTCCGAGTACACTCTCCAGAATATTCGCAACACTATTAATGTATGCTTTGTTTGATTTGCATTTTTATTAAATACAGCAATGAATTAATTTAATTAATTCTAATGTTAAATATTATGGAGTAGTAACTCGTGCATAGTACAGTAATTATTTAATTTATTTTTTATATATAAAAGAATACTAATAATTAAGTTTTAATAAAATTAATTCAAAGTGAAAAGTCTTATTTTTAGAATAGCATTTAGAATATTATATATTCATTTATGTCATAAATAATTTTTTAAATAAATTAATAAAATGTATATGAATTAATATAATAGATAGTTGTGTAGTAATATTATAATAATAATTACATAGTCAAACTTTACAAAAGTTTCAGGGTATAGATATGAGAAGATTGAGTCTATTTGGTGGCAGCAGTTCCGGACGATCGGATGCTTTTTGTTTAAATGGTAACGAAGTTTGCACTCAAAGCGCGTTTGGGATCGGAGTCTATAAGGGAAATGTAGTCGCAATCAAACGGATATTTAAAAAGTCAATCGACTTAACACGAAATGTCCGAAAAGAGCTGATCCAGGTCTTCCATATTATATATTAAATTGTTTATTTGTTTATTTAGTAATTTTGATTTACATTTTCATAAAATCACACATTAATTGATTGATAGGTAAGAGAGATGAGACACGAGAATATAAACTCGTTTATTGGCGCCAGTATTGAGTCGACAAATATATCCCTTATATTCTTATACTGCGCCCGAGGAAGTCTTGAGGTATACCACGTTCACAGATACCATAGTGTTGTCAAATCACGTAATGTTAATTGTGTCCTATTTTTGTTTTAATTCATTAAGACTTGTATTTCATTTGTCTTCATTTCCCAACACAACCCGAGTCTATCCAAAAACACATAAAACTCCCGCATTTTTGTGACAATTCCCGTTCATTTGTGAGATTTTAAGTGCTTTTTTATTGTCAATTAAATTTTAAAATAATTATTTTTCAAAATCAGGACGTATTAAGGAATGAAGACTTGGATTTGGATAATATGTTTATCGCCTCATTAGTCGCCGATTTAATTAAGGCATTTAAAGCTTATATTAAATATTGATTTATACTAAATATCTAAACAATTATAAATTTGTAAAATAAAAAGGCAATGATTTATTTACACGATTCGGATATTATATCACACGGGAAACTGAAATCATCTAATTGTTTGGTAGACAGTCGTTGGGTCCTTCAGATTACGGACTATGGTTTACACGAGTTTAGAGCAAATCAAGACTTTACGCATTTTGATGAACATAAACGACAAAGAGGTTGTGTATTCATAAGATTCAACGATATAATACTTTGTTAGAAAATATATAGAGAGTTGAATGCCTTATTTTGGTTTTACATTAACTTTTTTGTTAGCATTTTTATTCTAACTGTTAGAATCTAACATAAAGAATAATAGTTATATTCACTACTAATAATTGGGGCAATAGTTGGGAATGTTTCAAATCTTTATTTTTATTGCTTTTCTCAATTTAATAATATATTATATACATGTATATTGTTGTGATACTGAGAACAATATGTTATTTGAATGATATACAGATCTATTATGGAAAGCACCAGAATTGTTGCGAACCATTAATCCTCCGATGAGAGGGACACAGAAAGGAGATGTCTATTCGTTAGTCCCAAATATATGTAACAATTATCTTCAATTGTTATTAATATTAGATTCTTAACCTCGAAATAGATTTGCGATTATTTTATATGAAATAATTGGTCGAAAAGGTCCGACCGGTGATTACAATTCTTCACACGAAGACATTAAAGATATTTTGGAGCAAATTATAAATCCTAACCTTTTTGGAAGAATATACAGGCCATCACTCCGTGGTGTCAAATGTGCCCAATATGTTGTTCGCTGTGTATGAAAATGTGTTGAATTCACAAATTTAAACCATATATTAATTGTTTAATATATAAAACACTAGATTGAAGAGTGTTGGCACGAAAATCCCGACTCCAGACCAGACTTTAGATTCATTAATATAAGATTGAGAGAAATGCAAACCGGATTGTTA